GCCACAGCTGCTCCACTCCGAAGCCAGGATCCAGGAGCTTCCTTCAGGTCTCCCACATGAGTGCAGGGGCCCAAGGGCTTATGCCATCTTCTGCTTTCCCAGGCCATAGCAGAGAGCTGGATTTGAAGTGGAGCAGCCGGGTCTTGAACCAGCTCCCATATGGGATGCCGGCACTGCAGGCAGCAGTTTTACCCACTATACCATAGTGCTGGCCATGAGATGTGTTTCTTGTATGCTTCAAATACATGGGTCTTGTTTTTTAATCTGTTTATCCTGTCTGTATCTTAAGTGCAGAATTTATGCCATTTAAATTCAAGGATTTTATTGATAAGTAACAACTTGTCCTTGTCATTTTTCTGTAAGTATTCCTATTATTTGCCTTGTGCTTTAACTGGGAGATTTTCTGCTTTCAGGGTCTTCCATAATGATGACTATCATTCTGAGTTTCTGTGTCTAGCACATCCTTAAGCATCTTTTGTAAGGCTGGATAAGTGGTGATTCTTTCAATTTCTGTTTGTTTAGATTTTATTTTGCCTTCATTCATAAATGAAAGCTTTGCAGGGTACAGTATTCTGAGTTGACTTTTTTTTTTTCTTTTCAGACTTAGATTATGTCTCTCCGTTCTCCCCTAGTCTGTAGTGTTTCTAATGAGAAATTAGCTGTGAGTAAAGTAATCACATTTCTCTCATGCGCATTTTATAATCTTTTTTTTATTACTGTTGACAGTTTGTCTATAATGTGTCATGGTGAAGATCTTTTCTGGTTATGTCTATTGGGAGTTCTATGTACCTTGCATACTTGGATTCCCTTTCTTCTAATTTGGGAAGTTTCTTGTAATTATTTCACTGAATAGGTGTCCTAATCCATTCGCTGTTTCCCTATGTTCAGGAACTCCTCTAAGACCCATATGTTGGCTTACTTGCTATTACTCCATAAATCTCAAATATTGATTTTAATTTTAAAATTTTTTTCTCTTTCTTTCTGTCTTTCTTTCTTTCTTTCTTTCTTTCTTTCTTTCTTTCTTTCTTTCTTTCTTTCTTTCTTTTTCCAAAGATTTATATTTTGGCTTGGATATTCTTTCTTCTGCTTCACCAAGTCTGTTTTTAAGGCTTTCTACTGTATTTTTTATTTTACATACTGAATTCTTCATTTCTAATACTTCAATTTGATTTCTCTTAAAAAAATCTCAAGCTCATGGGAAAATTTTTTCTCCATGTCATGTATGGATTTCTTTAACTCATGAATTTGTTTCTGAGTAATCTTATGATCAGTCTTTTGAATTCCTTTTCAGGCATTTCATCAGTCTCTTTATCCTCATATTCTGTTTTCCTTTGAGGGAGTCATGTTGTCTTCCTTATTCTCATTTCTTGAATTTCTGCATTTATTTTTGGGTATTTGTGGAAATAAATGTTGGTTTTCTCCTGATGGATTTTATCTTTGAACTATGCCTCTGTGACTTAGTGGAATTAGTCTGCTCTTTCTGTGAATACCCAGAGGCATGTGCTGGGTGTGTCCAGGGAGCTCTAGTCAGTGCTGCAGTGTGGAGTGAGGATTTATGGTGACACCCAAGTTGGGCATGGTAAAGCTCCTCTGTTGTTAGCAGGAGTAGAGTCTGATCACCTCTATTGGCGTAATCACACCTTTAGCTCCTCTCTTCCAAGGTGACCAGAGCCTGGGTTTAGCCCACAGTGGGTGCAGTACTCATCTGGGCTACCACATGTACTGCACAAAGGATCGGTGCAACCCTCAGTTTGAGCATGGATCCCACTGCAGTGACCCACCTCGGGCCATCAAAGAGCTCTGTTCTCTGGCCCTGCATACAATGATTGCCCAGAGACCCAGCTACTCCCTGTACCCTATCAACCCTATGGAACAACAGAGTTCCAAGAGTGTCAGTATACAAGTCTCCCACAGTCACACGGTACAGGGGGTCTGCCCTGTCCTGCTGGCCTGTCTTGTATACAGAGAAAGCAAAGACATTACCAGAGCCAGCCACCTGTGGATGCTCTGCCTTGGCAGGTTGAGCCACAGAGCCTGTGATATGTTGAGTGGCTGGGGAAACCTCACAGTCCTACGTGGATGCCCAGCCCCATGTCAACCCTCCCAGCCAGATTCAAAGTCAGTGGGGAAAGTGTATTTTCTCTCTGGTAAAATCCCTGGATCACACACTGTAAGATTTGCCACAGCTACTGCTGGTGTCAAAAATGGAACTTTCTCTCTGCTGGTGCTAATAAGTGTTTTTGTGAGGCAATGGGGGGCAAGAAATGTGCCTTTTTTTTTTTTTTTTTTTTTTTTTTTTACCCTCTGGGTTAGGGTGATACCCTTCCCTGGAATAGAGTTCCAGGCTGGATTCAAAGACAGTGTGGTCCACAAAGCTCTCTCTCCAGCAGTATCACAAGAGGCATGGCTGTTGTAATGTGCTCTCACCTTGCCCGCCAAAGCTGGCATACCCTACAGCTGTTTGCTGTGGAGATCATGTGTTTTTTCCAGGCTGGTTGCTGTGCATCTACACCTTCCCTGTGGGCCATAGCATTCCTCTTCCTACTGTAGAATTTCCACTGCAAATTTCTCTCCATCCCTCCCTGGAAATACACTTCCTCCACTGTTTTTTTCTGCTCTTTCCCCCTCTTTAAAGAGCCATCTTAGAACCCCCCACTTGTTTTATTTTCTTTATTTTTCCCTTTCTTTTCTAACAAATACTTCTCATGCATGTAAACTTCATTATTATAAGACCAGTTTTCTTATTGTATCATACTAAATAATATCATACTATATAACCCTATCCCTATGCCTATGAGAAATTGCTAAGCCCTTTAATATAAAAAATTGTGTCATGTAGCATGGTGTTAAAGAAGAATGAGGGATTCATTGAGGTTTAGGGACTGCTTTGATGCTTCAGATTTAGAAACATGGACTGGACCTGAAAGAAAGATAAGTAGAAGAAATGAGCAAGAAAATATTTTCTGGGACATGGGGATGCTAGAGAATGAGACTGTTTATGCCTGACTAGCAGCAGTTTGTGAAAGAATAGCTTTGTAGGCCATGCAAAACATTAAGATATTATTCATTTACATGGATGGGGAAACTTCTCTCTGGCAGGGGCCATTGAGATATTTATAACATCATTTGTGGGTCACACAAACTTATCAACTTCAAAATTAGTCTGCTCCAGATTTATTAAATATTGGATCTCACCTAGGCAGGGACAGACCAAATAATCCTTTGGCCTTAGATGGGCCTGGATTTTCTCCACCCTGAATAGTGATAAGAAGTGATTGATTACATCTGGTTTATGATGATAACCCCTGTGATAGGTTTGGTTGGGAAGAGACAGAGAAACTAAGTAGGATACAGTTTCCTTGGACTTTGAGTGAGAAAGGACTAAATAGGCTAATTGTGGAATATTTGGGAATGACAACATCTCGGGGCAGAGAAATGAAGGAGGAAAAGGATCTGTTTGAACTCAGTTCATCCTAGAAATTAAAGAAGCTATGGAAACTAGACAGGTAAATTAGTACCAAAGGAGAATGACATTATAGAAGGGAGTATCATGAAACACAGGAATATTTGATGGTGTTGTCAAAAGTTTGAGAAGTTAATTTGGATAAGGTCAGGTTGATTTAGCATTTAATTCAATCCTTACCCAAGATAAGACATCACTTACTCTATCAGTAACATCCACTTAATTCCATTCACCAGACATTTATTATGCACTACAGTGTGATTAAAGCAATGGTCTCTGTGACATGCTTAGATTCTAGTAACAGAGGCAGGCATGCTGATAAATTTTCTGGATGTTTACAGTCTGGTGTGATAAGATTTCAGAAATGATTTGGGGAGAGAAGTCCACAGTTGTAGCATCCTCCTCTATTAAGTTCCAATTCTTTTCGCATCTTGTAAATCACATTCACTTTCCCGGCTCTGCTATGCAATTTAGTGTTTTATTCTGAATTTCTTACATTATCATATATATTACCATCTTGCTTGCTTACTTTTTTTTTGCACCAACTGGAATCTATCTATGTTCTATATAGACAAGAGTTCCTAGCTTCACCTCGTTAAGTTCTCTTGATGGGATTGGTCTTCTTCATTTAATATGCATTTTAAAAATTTCCAAAAGTAACTAAATCAGCAACCAGATAGCTAGTACATATATAGTTAGTGACAAATAGAAGCCATTAACAGATACTTCATGTGCATACTTACAGTTCTCATCTAATATATTTTTGCTAATGTGACCTTTCCTTTGTTGTAGAGACTGCCATATTTTTAAAAGTCTTTTTGAATTTATTTGTGAACACTTCAAATGCTCTTGAAGACCTGAAGATTGTAGTTTACTGATTGGAAGGATTAACGTATTTCTTCATATCTGTTCATTGTAAAATATCTACTTGGTTTTATTCAAAGAAACTGTAGTTGTGGTTTTAAATGAAGTCATTTTTTTAATATAAAATCATATCATGCCCTGTTTTTCAGTATCTGTACAAACACATCTTGCTAGGTATTTTTTCTCTCCTAATAAGAAGTTTCTGAAATAGACTAACCGTGAACCTGGAACTTGGGAGTGTCTCTAGGTGAATGCCAATCCACCTTACTTGTTTTGTTTCCTACTTATCTCCTGCCCCATTTCCTCTTCCTTTCTGCTGTAGCGCCTAAGTCAGTCTACACTACTCTGGGTACACAGATCTATGCATGAATCATAAATTGTTTCGTTGTCTGGAATTGTTTGGATATGGTCAATCCCTCTGCTAAAGCAGTCGTTGAGCACTGCTTTGTTACTTGTACTGGTATCTTTCTTGACAGTTTTCTCTTACGTTTGTAATTAGACCATGAGGTACATGGAAAAAAGAACCGTGTAATTGTTGTTGTTGTTGTTGTTATTTTTAAAAGACCTTTGTGTCTTTTAAGTCGGAGAAAAATGATAGCAATATTCTATCTTAGAATTCCACGCAGTTTTCAGATAAAAATGTGTCATAATGAGCTATGTTTTTCTCTTCCAGGGTTCAGAAATGCTCAGAAATCAATCACATGAATGCCCATAATTTGGCCTTGGCCTTTTCTTCCTGTTTGTTTCAAACTAAAGGACAAACTAGTGAAGAAGTGAATGTAATTGAGGACCTCATTAATAACTATGTTGAAATATTTGAGGTAAATATTTACTTTTTGCATTTGTTAAAGTGGTATTTTCTGTTTGCAAAGATGCATATTTTAGGATGTTACTATGCAGGTCTTTATGAAAATTTATAAGTTGGGAAAATAAAGGATAGTTATATTCTCTTTTTTGGATATAACTCCTTTTTCAGCTTTAGCCATTCATTTAAATTTGTTTTATGTAAAGATTTTTTACTCTCAAGTGTGTTGAACAGCATAATTCTGTTTATAGGGTTTTGTGTATTTTCTCCTTAGAATTTGTGCACTGTGTATTTCTGCTTACAGAGGTGAAAGTTAGGAATTCAACAAACTCTGAAATAAACCCTAGGATATTAAATTCTGTAGTTGTAAGCATTTTTGGGTTTATCTTAGAATTATGTTCCCAATTGAAAAGAAATTCGGAAATATCATTCTGTAGTTTTCTAGTAAGTCATTCTTGTTTTTTTTTTTTTTCTTTAAGATTTATCTGTTTATTCATAAGGCAGAATGACAGAAAGGGAGAGACCAGACAGAGAAAAAGAGAGAGAGAGAGAGAGAGAGAGAGAGAGAGAATCTTTCATTGACTGTTTCACTGCCCAAATGTCCACAACAGCTAGGGGTGGTCCAGTCAGAAGCCTGGAGACACAAACTTGTGTGGGTGTCCCACATGAGTGGCAAGGACTCAGGTACTTGAGCCATCTTCTGCCTCTCAGTGTGTATATTGTCAGGAAGCTGGATCAGAAGTGGGGGAGTAGGGACTAGAACAACAATGCCTACCTGTTTTACCTATTTTAGTTATTTAACTTTTCAGTTTCTCTTATATAAATTTACAATTTTCATATTTGATAAGAAAATTGATTGAGTAGGAATGATTTCTCAGTTCAGAGAAATAAAAATAAAGGAAATAGGCAAATATTTGAAAATGCTGACTATGGGCTGTGAGTCCAGTTTCATCCTGTAACTAGTTCTAGCCTCTCAGTTCTGCCATGTAGCCTTTCTGAGCTTTCCATTAATGAGGCTTATAAGGCTTCTTGTTTTCCAAAGATAAGAATGCACCAGGTGAAACCACATGGTGATGTGATATGTTACCATTTGTAGAGTTTTTATATTCTTGTAATAATTATTTTAAGATTGCTTAGCAAAGGGAAAGAACATATTTCAATAAAACTTCACAGTTTATATCTTAATTCATATAGTAATGGATGCCAAAGTTGTTGAATTGTTCTTGCTCTTTGTTTTCCTCCATTTCTTTCTATATGTGTCTACTATTTTTGATCAATAGCAACTTCTTTGCAATAAGCTGATACTGAGAAAAGAATTACAAAAAATTATATGTGGCTTTACATGCTCTCTTTATTTTTAATTTTTGTACTGTCCCATTATTAAAAACATGGTTATCTTCACAGTATGTTAAATCCAACTTTACAGAATAGTAGAAATTGAATCAGCACTTAATGAAAAATTTGGCTTGAGAAAATGAATCTTGCACTTTATGAAACCAGGCATCATGCCTTTGCTGGCTTAATCTCCTTAGCAATGGGGCTTCAATTGATGAAATCTGCAGCCTGAAGCAGGATCATCAAAAAGTGTTCTAAAGTCTATGAAACTCTATCTTGCTGGCTTTCTCTGTGCCCTAGCCTTGGCGGACCATGCTGATTAAGATGGCCATTCTCATTTATCTTTAACTTGGTGATATTTAAGTTCCTAAAGAATTACATGAGGATGAGTACCACTGCTCCTTTTATTCTACCTTATTAGAATGTCCCAAATTATATCTTAAACAGGTTAAAGAAGATCAAGTCAAACAAATGGACATAGAGAATAGCTTTATTACCAAGTGGAAAGACACTCAAGTGAGTAGTAATAGTTAGAACTCTAAAGAATTAAACAAAAATTTCTATTGTAAATAAAGACTTTTGGTACATGTATCTTCAAGTTCCCATTTGAAGCAAAATAAAAGTAATGTTGAAAAAGAACCTAGAAAAATAATACTATAACCTGATACACACATGTAAAATATGTTAATATATATTACTGAAAAATAGAGGGAAATAATTTTTAATTTATGATTCAAGATGTGTAATAAACACTATTGAAAGTGCCAGAGGATTTCAAAGGAAGCATTTAAAGCCAAAGAAATATTAAATTGAAAATTCAGACAGCCTAATGATTCTTTCCTTATAATTTTGAAAATTTAAGTTATTTCTTACCTGCTTTTGCTCTGCATGCTCTCAGGTGATTGTATTAATGGGATCTTTGTTAACACCTGCTAATTTTCATCTTAAATGGACTATTCTAATCCTGTCTTGCTTTCTTCAGGTATGTTACGTTGAATCTGTGTGTGCAGGTTGCACTCTGTTTTCCAGGGTTCCTTGTTTAAAGAATATTCTCTGGAACTTCCTAAGGTTGATCATTAATCATCTTCTAGTAGGTAGAAGTCATGCTGGAATCAGGCATCAATGTAAACAATACAAATGGGTCAAACATACCATGTTTACGGTAACATTCAGGTAATGAGGTAAATGCTTCCTTATTAGTCAGATGGTAAATCCTCTTTAGTCCTGAATAATTAGAGGAATCCTTGGCACTCACTCTCCTTCCAAATGAAGAAGTTGAGTGAAGGCTTAGATTCCCTAGTACTAGCACAATGATATTAACTACTTAACAAAGTATTTACTCCATTTGACCCAGTTTAATTAATGCAACATCCAGAGTTTTAGCATTGAAAAATATGGCAGCTTAGAAAATCTTAGATTCTCACTTTTTTTTGGAAGCATCGAAATCATGAGATCAAGGGTTGTGGTAAGCCTGAGAGCATTCTGTAGATTGTAGTTATGCTGTAAGTAGCCTTTTGCATTTCTATCCTTTTTATTCATATTACAATGAAAAACTCAGTTTTGAACACTTTCCAATTCAGTATAAAGTAAAAATAAGAAAATAATTGTCTATAAAATTTAGTAATGAGCAAAGTAGGAGAGCTTAGAAGAATACATTCTTTTGCTTGAGTTTTTCTCTGATCACTTCAGAAGTCTCCTCTGGAGTGTTTTCCTGACAGTATCTATGTCTTAGCCGTGTTTGAATTTCCTAGCTGTTCATCTCTTTGGCTTCACTCTATGAGTTCTTTGTGTTTGCTTTTTTAATTTTTAAAATGCATCCTTCCTGGAGAGTTGTTTATGCAAACATAAATGAAAAGCAAAAATGTCAAGTGTATCTTTTCTGTCCTAGAAATTCAATGTAGCATCAGAAGTAAAACACAAAAATACAAAAATATTAAAAATAAGCTTTTCTAAGCCCATAGAACCAAAAAAATTAAGATTACTTCTTCAGAGGACATCTTTAAAATGTTACCACCCTTCGATTATACTCATTAAATTTTATACTGAGGCAGATTTAATTTCAGAATAATAGCTTCTCCATTATGGTTCTTTTTTAAAAAAAATAGGATGATGTTTATTATTTCCAAGTGGTTACATATAACTTACATGCACTTTGGCAAAAAGATACTCAATAGTTTTCATAGATTTCTTTGGGCTCTTTGTAAACTCTCTTCATTTTATGGTGTTAGTCAACATTGTGATACTTATGCTTTTTATTCTCTGTCTTGTATCTTCCTCACTTAATCTGTCTTCTAAGATATAATAATGATCCAAGTAATTGTAATGTAGTCCTTGGCCAAAGATAACTAAAATAAAACTTATGTTTATTGTCTGTCTGATTCTTTCATTTCATTTTATTTTTTCTTACCACATTTACTTTCTCTATTTGTAGTTTTAATATAACACTGAACTAATTTATACTTCAATTTTTAATTTTTGTATACATCTTGTTTTAAAAATTTATTAAAACCTTTTTCCTTTTAGTTTTTGATTCTGCACATACTAGAATTTAGAACAGAACTACATATGATTCATTTTCACTCTCCATTTTGTTTATCCTGTTAACATACATAGTGATGGCTCTTATATCTTCTCTTGTCAATGTCAGCATATTTCATTGTATCCACTGAAATAATATTCATTATTTCAGTAAGAATTTAAGGATATTAGATTCTTATGAGATAAAAATATCACATCGTGATTGTTGTTGATTGTAACACATTGTGTAGATTCCTTGTTCGTAACCATATCTGGAAATGAATACATCATATTTGTGAACAGGAGACTGAGCTAATTTCATTGGTATATGGTATTGCAAAATGTGACTAGGACTTCACAGCTGTCTTAAGTGTCCTATGTGTGTTTTTGCAATGTCCTGATATGTGCCATCTTTACATCTGCTTTGTAGGTTTCCCAGGCTGGAGATTTGCTAATTGAAGTGTATGTAGAAAGGAAGGAACCTGACTGTAGTATTATAATCCGGGTAAGTCCTAAAGATGGATGTAACGAGTGCTGTAGGAAATCGTAAGTGCTAACATTAATGTAAATATGGTAAGTTTCCCCACATTTCCTGTGCTTTCCTGTGTTGACCTCTCCAGGTCAACAAATTATTGATGACAAGATTCATTTTCTGTACCAGTACCCTGTGAAAATTCTGTGTTTTAGTCATTTTGGAAAGTACATGTTTTATGCTTTAGGTTACAGTTGGGATTTTTATACAGGTTTTGAAAAATAACTTGAGAATAAATTCTTGCTCCTTCCCTTCCAAGCTTCTTAACCTTAGGCAGGTTATTATCCTGTCTAAACCTCAATCTTCTCACCTATAGAAATAGGAAAAGTTATAGGTCTCACATCATCACATTCATGTGAGGACTCAATACGATAATACATGTAAAGCTTAGCAAATGGTTCTTCAGTGACTACTTATAAGTAAATATTACTCTATGTGCTGTTATTATTAATCTTGTTTCCTGTATTTTTAGTCATCTAGCTTACTTGAATATTTCATAAATTTTTTCTTCCTTGAGATTGTTAATCATTTGTGCTGAATTAAAGTAGATTTTTGTTGTGCTACTGTGTTCAGTAATGGTCTGTCTTAGATATGGTAGCAGTGATCTTACTTCTCTTTATGAGGAACAGACATTCTGCCATGTATCTAAAATTAGCTTCTTATGTTTTGAAAGCCCGAGATTGGGGCTGGCGCTGTGGTGTAGTGGGCGAAGGCGCCATCTGTGGTGCCAGCATCCCATATGGGCAGGTTCTAGTCCCGGCTGCTCTACTTCTGTTCTGTCACCCTGCAAGTGCAGCTGGGAAGGCAACAGAGGATAGCCCAGGTCCTTGGGCCCCTGCACCCACATGGGAGACCTAGAAGAAGCTCCTGGCTCCTGGCTCCTGGCTTCTGCCAGACAAAGCCCTGGTTGTTTTGACCATCTGTGGAGTGAGCTAGTGAATGGAAGATCTTTCTGTCTCTATCTCTCCCTCTCTCTCTCTGTAATTCTGACTTTCAAATAAATAAAGTAAATTTTAAAAGAAAGTCCAAATTAAACAGTACAGCATTAGATATTTCCAGACTTCTGTTAGACTTCTCGGAATTGTTAGGTTAAGTCATTTCTAAAGATTGTGTGCTACGACTCTGTAGCATGAGCTCCCTGCCCCAGAACATGGCGGCAAAATTCTGTAGGATTTTTCCTCATGAGGCATTTGCCTTGCCACTGTTTGGTCCTATTGTATTTCTTAATCTGAGTTTGCAATATACATCGTAAGGGACATGAGAAACTAGTATAGTTCAATCAGTACAAGTCCATCAGTAGTGCTAGACAGATATTTAAAGGACATGACTGAAATCTATCTAGACATCAACTTCTTCACAGCACGTTTTAATTTTACTTGTAAAGTCATAACAAATTAATACAATGCACAAAAATTTTCATTTTAAGTTACTGAGAAAAGACTATCCAGTTTCATCTAAAACAACTTCACATTCTTTGGCTACCTAAAAACAACATAGCAATAAGCACTAACATTTACCCCACTGCTTAAGACCTTGAAAAGCCATTTAGTTATATTTAGGTCAGCTAATCCTTACCTCAGGCTGTGGAGGTGGATGCAACAAAGGACATCCGGTTTACAGGAATTCAAACTGGGAATTAAAACAACAATTAAGAGCAGAATACAAATGCGGCTCGTCATACTGCAGAACTAATTTTTTTTTCATTTTCAATTATCTTTATATACAGAAAATCCATTTAGTATATATTAAGTAAAGATTTCAACAGTTTGCACCCACACAGAAACACAAGTGTAAAGTACTGTTTGAGTATTAGTTATAGCATTAATTCACATTGTACAACACATTAAGGACAGAGATCCTACATGGGGAGTAAGTGCACAGTGACTCCTGTTGTTGACCTAACAGTTGACACTCTTGTTTATGGTGTCAGTAATCACCCTAGGCTCTGGTCATGAGTTGCCAAGGCTACGGAAGCCTTTTGAATTCACCAACTCCGATCTTATTTAGAAAAGGTCAAAGTGGAAGTGGAAGTTCTTTCCTCCCTTCAGAGAAAGGTACCTGCTTCTTTGATGGCCTGTCCTTTTTTTTTTTTTTTTCTTTTTGCCCAGCAGAGTTAGACAATGAGAGAGAGAGAGACAGAGAGAAAGGAGAGCAAGGTCTTCCTTTTTCCATTGGTTCACACCCCCCCCCCAAATGGCCACTATGGCCGGCGTGCTGCGCCGATCCGGAGCCAGGAGCCAGGTGCTTCCTCCTGGTCTCCCATGTGGGTGCAAGGCCCAAGGACTTGGGTCATCCTCCACTGCCTTCCTGGGGCACAGCAGAGAGTTGTACTGGAAGAGGAGCAACTGGGACAGAACCAGCGCCCCAACTGGGACTAGGGTCCCGAGTGCCGGCTCTGCAGTCGAAGGATTAGCCTACAGTCGGAGGATTAGCCTAGTGAGCCACGGCACCAGCCTGATGGCCCGTTCTTTATACTGGGATCTCACTTACAGAGATCTTTCATTTAGGTCTTTTTTTTTTTTTGGGGGGGGGGGGGGGGGCGGGGCAGAGTATCTTGGCTTTCCATGCCTAAAATACTCTGATGGGCTCATCAGCCAGAATCAAATGCCTTAAAGGCTGATTGCAGAACTAATTTCATTATATTAATCTGTGTTTTCCTTAGAGTAAAGATTTCCTAAATCTGGAGTCCAGGTGGTCTAAAGGTGGGATTTGGGTCTTTCCTAGGGCAAAGTGGATGAAGTTTGTTCTTCCTACTTGAAATTAGGGCACGTTCTGCTTCCTGTTTCTCCAATTTGGTTTCTTAGTGATTTACTCTTTTTTATTTCCTCTCAAAAAAGGCTATACTTTTTAAAAGATTTTAAGTTTATGCAGAACAACATTATTAAAATGATTCAACTCCTGTTTATACTGTTTAAAGCTATCTACTTTGGGGTTTTTCTAAACAGAAAACAGTGGACTTCATTGTGTAATTAATATACCCCTCAAAGCACTGAATTTTATGCAGTATAAAAGTCGGACAGCATGTGAGTCACCTGCAGTGAAATGCCTCTTTATTTTTATGTGGGTGATAGGCTGTGCGCAACGCTGAGCAGGGGCACTAGTAAGGAGCGACTGCCTATCTAAGCAGTGTTTATAGGGGAACACTTTCATTGAAAATGCACAAACTTAAGTTTCACTAGCAATACTGTAAGGCCTAAAACATCTTCTGTTTGTTTTGTGTGTGTGTGTGTGTGTGTGTCTGTGTTAATTTTTTATTAATATAAAGAGAAGAGATTTTATGCATTCCATTGGTACAGTTCCAAGAAGACAACCACACCTTTCTCATTCCTCTACTCCTCATCCCCTCTCTCCCTCCTCTTTCTTCATTGGTTTTTACAAAGACAGCATTTTAATTCACCCTATATTCACAGGCTAAATTCTCCACTAAGCATAATATTCAACAAGTAAAAAGTGAAGAGACCACAGTTCCAGAGGAGTATTAACAAGAGCTAAAATGACAGTCATATCCCAGAGTGACCATTTCAGTCCTGTACATTTGTTTTTATTCTTTATTAGCTGCCACATATCAGAAAATACATTATGACGAATTGCTAATTGAAGAAAACCATCTTGATTTGGGCCAGCATGCACTTAAGATTGGAAAATAAAAGAGAAAACAAAGCAAAAAAAAAAATCCCCTAAGTCTGAAGAAGTAACATGCTTATACAGGCCCCAGGCTCTGGATCTCTTGTAGAGATGGGCTCCAGGCTGGCACCACACACTCTGCCCTATGCCCTGAAATCCTGGCTCCAGCATACCTGGGGACCCCACCATCTGTCACTTGGCATTTCAAGGCAACCACAAACTACCAGAACTGTGGGACTTCTTGGCATGACAGACAGGAGTCAGTGGGCTGTGTGCAATTTAGGGCCTCATCTGAATGAACCAAGCCACTCTGCACATTTGATTACAGAGGTGGAAAGTAACAAGATTTACTGAATTCATTGTCTGGTAAGGTCTTTCTGTATGTGATTAGAAATATTCTTCCCTTCTGGTCTAATTGCTCACTAAGTGAGAAAAAAAGTGTTCTGAGTGTATCTATATTATAGTATCTCCTTGACATATACTAAATTGAATTGCAGATTATGGAGATTTGAACACGCTATTTTCTCTGTTTGCTTAGAAAAATTGTGTTTAACCATAGTGAGAAGAGACTTAAGGGATAATAAGATAGTGGATGGAGAATATTATTACCCTAGAATAAGGCTACCACCATGTCTGACATACCTTTTAAAAAAATATTGCTTCTCTTATAGATATCTCCTGTGATGGAAGCAGAAGAATTGACTAACGATATATTGGCAATAAAAAATATCATCCCTACAAAAAGTGATGTTTGGGCCACATTTGAAGTTATTGAAAATGAAGAACTTGGTACGTGATCTTTATGATACAGATTCTTAAATTCCTTCTAGTATGCAGAAATTTTTTGTGACAAGTCATTAATATTTTCTGTTTTTCTAAAAAGGAATACCTCATTATGAATGACAAATGATCCCTTTAATAAGTTAATAATTCCCACTTATTTCATGTTGATATGCAAGAGTAATTCAGAGAGTTCATGGAAATGTAGCATTAAATGATAAGTTTGGGGCCATCCTTTTGGCACAGTGGGTTAAGCTACCACTTAGGACACTGGCATCCTATATCCAAGTGCAGTCCTGAGCCTCCAGCTCTTCCACTTCTACCAGTTCCCTGCTAATGTTCCTTGGAAGGCAGCAGAAGCTGGCCCAAGTTCTTGAGTCCCTGCCACCATCTGCAGGACCCAAATGGATTTCCTGACTCCCGGATTCAGCCTGGCCCAGCCCTGTCCATTGCAGCCACTTAGAGGAGTGAACCAATGAACTGAAGACCTAGCGTGCACTGTCACTGTCACTTTCATTCTCTTTTGCACCCTACATCCATGCTCAGACTTTCAAATACACAGATAAGTCTTTAAAAATACATTATTTTTATGGAAACAATTTTGAAACCCATGCATAATTCTCTCATAATAAGTATTTTTCCATGAACTCTTTAATGACTCCTCATATGCATGGATTTCACAGGCTTTGTACTAAAATAAATCTTTTCATTCCATTTTCCACCCTCCTATATTACCACTACCTGAGGCTTCCTTCCTATAATTTTACTCATCAAACTGGTTACGTTCCTGACTATAAATATACGAGGATAATGCCGATCCTTAGGCATCAATGTCGCTGCCTTGTGAAATGAGCCCTTTGTAAAGTAAGCAATCTGGTTTGTTAGTGTTCTAAATACTGCTTATCTCCATTCACCTTCTTCCTGCATGCTGCTTATTACCTGCATCAGAGAACATTGATTTAAAAGATTGTTTTTTCTAAACAACAAGTTTGTTTTAAACCTAACAGAAGCTACTTTTTCTGACTTTTTCCTTTTCCTCTGTCTTTAATGGATCAATTATTTTGTCATTCTCCATCCCAAAGACACAGAAGGATACAAAGAGCTCTTAAAACACCTTGACTATCCCGATAGTCAAGTGCTGAATAAGCTTAACATTGCTATGACACCATTTGGTTTTAAAGACCTCTAGGAAAAGAAAAAAACAGACACCGAACATCTTTGTACCTTGACCATCTGTCTAGCTGATGTCTAGTAAGGTCTTGGGACCCTTTCAAGTCTAGCTGTCAAACTGCCAAGAGGAAAATCCTGCCACCCGCAAACTCAAAAATTAAAATTCAATGCTGAAGCATCCCTTGGTGCATTATTAGGAATTTTACAATCAGTGTTGGAATGAAATGGGCTTATCAGGTACTGTGTCTTTCACTCATCCTTCTTGATGTTTTTATTCCTTTATTTCTGTACTGTACACAGCTCTTTCAAAGTTGAATCTGTATTGAAATATTTTCTTTATTCATTGCCAAGATCCAAGCACTGGCGTTTTGATGTCAGTTCACAGTGTCTCCCCTGTCCTGGAGCTCATTCTCCCCATGCACAGGACTGCACAGGACTCCTGTGACCCTCACCCCAGTTGTCTGGTGGATTTGCTTCAGGTTGCACCTCGCCTGTCCTTTCTGACAGACTGACCATTGCCTTGTCCTCTGATGACCTTCATTCCACTTCTGGTGCTGCCTGGATTCTCCATTAGATTCTCTGATCATTTTATTCATTTGTAGTTTCTTCCTCCTCTCTTAAACATTGGGTTTCCCTTACTCCGGTCTCCTTTGTTATATTTTCTTATTTTATATATTCTTCATAGATAATCTCTTTCATTCTTTGTGCTTCACAAACATGCATGAGCCGAGGTTTCCTGAACATACCTTTGTTCTTCCTCCATCTGGGTCACCTGAGGAACTCCTGGGAAACCCAACTCATGTGTGAGCATTTGGCTTAGTAGCTAAGATACTGATGAAGATGCCTCCCCACTCCATACCAAAGTTTGAATCCTGGCTCTGGATTCCAGCTTCATGCTAATGTGCACCCTCAAGGGCAGCAGGTGATAGCTCAGCCCTGCCCTCCAAATGGGAGACCTGCATTGAGTTTCAAGCTTTGTGAGAGGGAGCCAGTGGATGGGAGTGCACACTCTGTCTCACCGTCCCCGTCCCTCTCTGATGAAAAAGAATAAAATTTACAGAATTTTGTTGCACTTTGTCTCCTCTCATCCTGGTGCCTATCACCTGGATTTATATTTCTCTGTCTTGATGGGAGTTCCTTGGAAGGAACAAAGAGCTCTTTTTCCTTTCTCTAGTATCTAGCACAGTACCTATGACACAGTGTCCATGTAATTAAAATCCATTGAATACTTGAAATAGTATCGTAAGATTAAGTGGTGCAGAAGTGTTTTTTTTCTTTTCTGTTTAATTTTAAGGAAAAGGGATAGCTTTACTAGTTCATTATATTTCTGAGTAAATCAGCATTATTGGCAGAATTTTCTTTCTGAATCACATATTGGATTATATTGTTCCATTGCTTAAAACACTTCCATTACTTCCTCATCGCCCATCCTTCTGTGATGATAATCAGATGAACATAATTCACAATGATTGATCCCTCTCTCACCATTTACTTATAGATCTGTAATGCGGCCTACTCTCTAAGCTGTAGAATATTAAGGTGCATACGTCTGGTTCTGTCCTTCACTGTACTGTAATGAGATATTTGCCATATATTTTAGACCTTTATCTCTCACTACCTCAAGCACAGCACCTTGACATTTAATGTAATCCACAGAAGTCTGTCTTATAACCTGCTCCACAGAACTTTTAATGAACTGTATCCAAAAAGACAGTTGCGTTCTGGATCTGAGTCATCTTTATTGTCTACAGATGTGACCGGCACCTAGAAAGTGGTCTCTGCTTTAGATAAGAGTTCCTAGGAGACTACAAGGCCATAGTTACTGCTCGGACAGCTGAGTGTCTCCGGCATGCTTGTATTGGTTCATTGGATATTCACAGCATAATACTGAGTCATAAATTTGGGGTTAGGCATCTTCTTTCTGCCACCCTTGTTCTCTTAAAGGTTGAGTCAAATGAAAGCATATTCCTGCATCATGGCACTGGCATTCAGTGCCTTTTGCTCCTAGTTTTCCTGACTGATGGGAGTGAGCAGCGTGGATGAGGATAAATAACCAAAAACAAAACTGCATTCTGGAACATTGCTTTGAAATTTCATTTTAGAAAACCAAGGGATCCTCACACTGAAAATGACTGGTTATCTACTTGCATATGACCATACGTTTATCACAAATGCTAAGACAGGAGTGGGATGTTGTTATTTTTCCTCCTCTCTAATAAAAAAGGATAAAACTTATCTTAATGTTGATATCAAAAGACTAGGCAACGTCAAGTTGCTTTGTTTATGTATATATCTGAGAATATAACCAAAGAAGCATCCCGTGTCACCAGGAAAGAATATACTCAGAGTTAAGAATTCAAATTTTGGGGCCGGCACCGCGGTGTAGTGGGTTACGCCTCTGCCTGCAGTACCAGCATCCCATATGGGTGCTGGTTCCTGTCCCAGCTGCTCCTCTTCCAATCCAGCTCCCTGCTGATAGCTTGGGAAAGCATTGGAAGGTGGCCCAAGGGCTTGGGCCCCTGCACCCACGTGGGAGACCCAGAAGAAGCTTCTAGTTTCAGATTGGCCCAGCTCCAACCCTTGTGGCTATTTGGGGAGTGAACCAATAGATGGAAGACCTCTGTCTGTGTCTCTCCATTTCTCTCTGTCTGTAACTCTACCACTCAAATAAATAAATCTTTTTTTAAAAAAAGAATTCAAACTTGGCATCATCTTGATGTTTGTTCAGGTGTGCAAGCAGAAATTGCAGGAAAAGAAAACTAGGATTATTTTTGCTGCTTCTAGAGAGATAATTATAGGGAAGGAATAAAAGGGTCTGTGGTTGTGTGGACTTAACTGAAGTGGATGGGGCTGCGTTCTCCACCTGGCCATCTGCAATGTACAGAGTTTTAATTCCAGTAACACGCTGGGAAGACAAAGTGAAATATAAAAAGAACATGAGCATAAAGGCATAGGCAGTCATAAGACTGTAGTTGATATGAAGAATTTCAGCAGGGAATAGTTTTCTAATGTAAAAACAAATCCTCCAGATAATTAAGTAATCAAAAATAAATGGTTAAATAAGTGGTTAAATAAGCAAGCAGACTGCTAGATTTTATTACCTTTTAGGTATCTGTAACATTTAAGGCAGTAGTCCTCTGTCTTGTCACATCAAGAGTCCCCTTTGTATAATAAGTATTTTGTAATGTTCCCTTTACAATCCTGAGATATACTATTACACTCATGAAAAGTTGAGTTTCTCAGCTGTTACACTTCCTACCCTGCTCTTTGCTAATGCCCCTGGGAAAGCAGCAGAGCGTGTTCTAAGTGCTTGGGCCCTGCACCCATATGGGGGATCTGCATGAAGCTCCTGGCTTCTGGCTTTGATTGTAGCCATTTAGGGAGTGAACCAGAATATGGATTCAAGGTCTCTTTCTCCCTCTCCCTCTCCCTCTGCCTCTGTAACTCTGCCTTTCAAATAAATGAATTAATTAATTTTTATATTTTTTATTTATTTATTTTTTTTATTTTTGACAGGCAAAGTTAGTGAGAGAGAGAGAAAGAAAGGTCTTCCTTTTTCCATTGGTTCAACCCCCCCAAGTTGCCGCTATGGCTGGCGTGCTGCACTGATCAGAAGCCAGGAGCCAGGTGCTTCCTTCTGGTCTCCTATGCGAGTGCAGGGCCCAAGCACTTGGGCCATCCTCCGCTGCCTTCCCGGGCCACAGCAGAGAGCTGGACTGGAAGAGGAGCAACAGAATCTGGTGCCCCGACCGGGACTAGAACCCAAGGTGCCAGCGCCGCAGACGGAGGATTAGCCTAGTGAGCTGTGGCGCCAGTAAAGATTTATTTATTTATTTGAA